GGCGTCCCCGCCCGGCCTCCCCGCCGAGGGCAGCCGGAGCAGCCCCGGTCTCCGAGGTGTCCCGATGAGGTTGCCTCCTTCCTCCCTGAGCCGCCTTCCCCAGCGGAGGAACTTCCACCCCCCCGGGAGGGAAGCGCAACCGGCGCGGGCCTGCGGCGCCCACCTCTCCTCCCCTCACGGAGAGACCCGCGGGTGTCACCCTCGACGCCGAGGAGGGGTGCGGGTCCTCGGGAGCCCTGCACTGCCCCCGTCGCACTTCACGGAATTAACCTCGATAAACTTCTAAACCGCCTCTTGAGACGCTGCTTGCGTTTCCCTTCTCTGGCACGCCCGAGAGCCGGGGCTGGGGGGTGAGATGCGTAAGTAGCGAGGGCACCTGCTTGGGATAACCACATACTCGACAGGGAAGAAGAGACTTTTCAGATAACTTCAAGGTTAATTTAAGACTTAGCCGCAAAATCCAGACTTTGAATAATACATTCCACCAGGATATGGTGCCCGGCAAGTGATTTCCCCTCACCCCGGTCCTATCATCCTATTTTCATCTTCAGAACAGAAGCCCCAGATTTGCTGCTTCTTCCAACAAAGAAACATGTTGTCGCATGACGACAGAGTCACTTGCATCGGTGCCATCCGCATATACACACCGCTGCACGTTTTGGTCTCTGGTAACAGACCTCAGAGATAAGAAATTGAAACTCACAGTCACAAACTCAGTGGTTAGAAAACGCTTTTTTTTTTTTTTTTTTTTTTTTTTTTTTTTTTTCTCTTCTGGTAAGTGCACGGCAGTTCCCCCTTGCAGAAATATATCGGGCTGATGACAGCTGTCAGCTCCTCTCTTGTCGTGGGATAAAGGTTTGGTGCTTTGCCCATCTGTCAGCCCCAGAGTGAGTCAGGCCATAGACAGAGTGCCAGCAGAGGTTGCTGCATTGGAGGCATAGAGAGTAGGGTCTGAGCTTTTCCTTTGTCCCCACAAAGGTAGAAAGGAAGGAAAAATCAAACGTTTTCAGTTCCTGATGAGAAGCGGCAACGATCATGTGCCGATGACACCAGTGACAATGGCATGGCAGTGGACATTCCTGAAAGCCATCACTTGGTATTTAAACAGGAGAAAAGTGAAGACAGGAGGGAAATTAAAACGGTCTTGAGAAGAGCTTTATTTTGAACAGCAAAGGTTCATCTCACAGACTTCTCAGGAGTAGGTCTGCCGACCATCAGGTATGTAGTAGCCAAAACCTGCTACTTGTAAGAGGCAGTAGGATGAAACCAAGACATACAGAGGGCAAACAAGTCTCATGTGCCATGTTAACTCTTAAAACAGTGGGATAGAAGCAGGGTCTCCCCACAGTGATGGCAGAACGGTTGACCCTCCACAACAAGCATTGTGTGAGGGACATTTATGCAGTGTCCCCTCTTCAGACAGGGCCAGTTTGCTGAAGCTTCACAGGATCGATAGTCAAGTGAAATCCTGTAATCCGTCACCCCCATTCCCTGCCACTGTTTCAAAAGGTATTTATTAATTTCTAACAACTCCCTGTCACATTCTGCTCTTCGTGCGTCATGACTTTGGGTCTGCACCACTGTAACTACACCAAGATTAACATTCGGAGAATTTTAATCCCCACTAAAACCAACTGGAAGAGCTACAGTTTTCCAGAGCAGGGGTGGCACTAAGCAAGGTTTCTGTCATTTGAAGTTGCTGTTGTCTTGATTGAATTCACCATGACGCAAGCTGGCTTTGTGCTGGAGGAGCTGACACAGATCATGGCACTTTGCACTGAAGGGACAGCTTCACACATGTGTGTGGAGAAGCTTTCAAGAACCAAAACGGCTCTGTAGAGAAAGACAGGCGAGTGATCAGATCACAGTAAACGAAGATAAATTTGCGGAACTGTTGCATTTATCAGAGACCTGAGAGCAACAAATACAGCCCCAGGCACTCCAAGGGGATGCATCAGTGATGGAGGGACAGATGCTTTCTCTCCCCCTACCACTTTGCTGATGAAAACAGGGTGATGGAAGTAACAGACAACCCTGATGATTCTGTTTAAGGCAGAGGTCTGTCACATCCCTCACCCCTTGGAGGATCAGTGCTAACTTTAGGGAGTTTGTCACCACTTGCTTGGTCTTCCAGGAGTCAGCAGAGGCTTCCTCCCCTTGGCATGAAGGCTAGAGATGAGCAGCTACGAGTGAAGTGCTGGAGTCATGACCGCATGGGAATCAAGGGTAAGGAGGAAGGCACAGAAGTCGAATATCCACAGCTCAAGATGATGAAATATTTTAAAGGTATCTGTTGATACTGCTTATATCTTGCACAATATAGATGCTATATAAATTGTATCCCTTCCTCAGATTCCTCCTAACTTGCTGGCCCAGCAGTACCTCCAAACAATTTTAGTCCCTTTCTGTGAAAAAGGAGCAATGCAGCCCCATCACTGTGAACTTGTGTTTTACACACCAAACTAATTACCCTGCATTGTTTCAATACAGTATTATCTGAATGTATACATTAAAGTCCCTGACCCAACCAGACCCTGTGTAGTCTATCGCAGGAATACATATCTGAGCTCTGGGTAGCATTGCCATATGCAGTGTAGGGAACCTTCCATATGGTTTCTGAAAAGTGGTTACAGCACACGTGCACCAGGCACTTTTCAAAGTAAAACAGATCTGTTCATTTTTATTTTCAAAATACCAAAGCAGTAAAATCATGTAATTGAGTAATCACTTGCCAAATTTCCTTTTTTAATCTAATCTATTTTGAATTACATCTGAGCCAAAATGCAAATTAAACTGGTAAGGTTCCAAGATCTCTTTTTTTCCCTTTTAGAAAACACAATTTAAGGTACTCATAAGTAAGGAAATTTAAAAAACCATTTGTTTTGTATGCTGTAAACTTACAAGTTTCAGCCTGAAGTAAATTTTCATAGGTAATAGGTTAAATAGAAGTCTTATGTAAATTTTGATCTCTTCTTAACAACTCCAATGTTCATTTTATAAAATTTGATTTGAAAACAAGGCCATTGTTTGAAAAGAGGCTCAAAGGTTCAGAAACTAGGCAAAAAAAGTACCCACTCTAACAAGGCACAGGTACAGCCTTTCAGCTCTAGCTACTATCTAGCTCTATCAAAAAAAAGGAGAGATTCCAGTGATTGCTCATGTGCAGTCTCCCTCAATCAGTTTTTAGGGGGGTGTTGTTGCATTAGGATTAAAAGCCAAACTCACTTGCCAGCCTGGGCCAACTTGTTAGCACTTGACCATGAGGTGAGACAGATCCTCGCCATCCTACCACAGCCCCACAAAGTCACACATCTCAGCAGGTTAACAAAACGATAGAAGTAGCCTTCCAGAGGACCCGCTGCTGGAAACCTTTGCTCTTTGGGTTGCAGTTGTTTAGATTAAGTCTCTCCCCACCCCCAGGCAGACCTTGTGGAAAGCCGTGTGACCTCGTGGGTTGCCTTCTACCACAGTGCTTCCATCCGTTGAAAAAACTGGCACCCACTCAAGTCACAGCTGTCTTCATGGCGCTTGTCTTTTCTCCCCTAAAACTTTCCTCAAACTGGGGTCTGCTCATGATACCTCCTGGCCCTTTTTGTAAGGTTGCAAAGGCACAACTGACCCTGTTAATTTTAAAATACTTTAAAGCAGCTGAACAGGTTTGTTGTTGGTGTTTTTGTTTTTTTTTCCACTACACTATTGTTGAAAGAGAGCTGTTGGGAAGGGGCAGGCCAATCCTAAGCATGTAAAATGCAGCAGAAGACATACAGGAGAGATGGAGGAGTTACAAGGCTCATGCCCGTTTGCAAAAGACTGACTGACATTGCAGCTGCCCTTCTAAAGGGGATCTTGTCCCTCTTCAATGTACTTTTTCTGCCCCTTCCCCAGCAGTGCCACTGGTACTCATCATATCCTGATGACCTGGTTCGGTGAGCTAAAACCACTGAGAACTAATTTGTTTTTTCTCCTGCTGCTGCTAAAGCCTGAGTTTTCCAGCAGTTTTAACTCCTTACTTAAACTGCTAGGTGACAGCCAGTGTCAGTTCAAGAGTAGTAAGAGCAGTGTGTAGCCAGGGGAACGGGGACACTTTTTTTGGCAGCTAACAGCCCAAAGTAGCTGCGATGTCAAACCACACCCCTCAGGTTTCTGATGGCTAGGGAGACTAAAGACATGGTAGAGAGGGCAAAGGAGAGACAGGAAAAGCGCGAAATCAAAACAGACCAAGGATAAGAGAATACGCATACTGGATGCAAAGTAGGGGCTGGACTGTGAGTGTTGATTGTGGGAACAGATGGGCGAGATAGAGAGAGAAATGACACCCATTACACTCAAAATCGTATGTATGAGAGGGGGGGAGAGGGGAGGGCAAAGACAGCGCATGGTGGGAGAGATGGAATTATCAAGACAGGAAAAAAGATTTGCAGAAAATAATGGTTTAAGAAAAACTGGAATCGGAACTTACTGTTCACTGGAAAATCACAGTCTAGTTGCAGTTAGAAAAGAATGATCCTTTGAAAAACAGCTTAATACTTTATTTTTTAATGTTTGACATTTGCAAGGATCACCTGCTCTTTGTACATTGCATAGTCGCACAAGAAGAGTTAAAAGGTATGGCATAACATCAGCTTTGGCCAACCCAATAAACATTTATTGTATTGACTAGAGGCATAACATTGCACAGAATAAACTAGAGCCAAAGCAAATAAAATATTCTTCCAGTTCTGTAGAGGATCGAGATGCAAACAAAAAGATTTTGATACTTCCATGGCTCTCCATTGGCACAGGAACTAGAAAGGAATATTCATTAGATTTAACTACAAATGTTCGTCTTGTGTGGGAGGTCTCAGTATAGTAATATGTATTAGAAACTTGATATTTTTCCAATCAAGCCTTTCCACTTCCATTTACATATATTTAATGGTAAATGTTCATTTTCCTACCTGAAGCATTTTAAATAAGTGTACAATAAACAGACTGTATACAGAAGGGGAGCAAATAGCTTAAGGGACTTGTGATGAGCCCTAGAACTGCTCCAGCTTCCACATCACCGATTGAGAGCAATGCAAGATGATCCCTCCACACAGCCTGTGGGGGGTCTCGTAGACCGAGTTGGTGATCTCACCCTCATTTCTCCTGAACTGTGATCTTCCCCCACAACCAATAAACCACAATTGATGCAAACTGGCATCTGTGCCAGTAGAAAAGGTGATGGCTGGCAAGGAGATGCTCTCTCACACACGGAAGTGGATTTCTTCAGAGCACAACCAACTTCAGTTTGCAGTTGTGTCAATACACACTTAGCTTTTCCAAGCACCAAAATGCATGGGCAATAGTTAGTACAGTTTGTGACTGCAAGTTCATTTAAAACAGAACTGCATAATGCACAGAAACTCTCAAGTGAGATGTCATCATCTGACCTCAACTAAACAGTGCTGTTCATTACGGCCTGCAGCGGCAGCACAGCTTTTGCGGGAACACACTTCAGCCCCTTGCAGTGGCGATGTGGCAGGGAGCTGCCATCAATCCCTGAGAATTCCTGGGTATGCAGCGGCTCTCGGGGGGCACAAACCACTTACGGGGACAACAGGCTTGCTGCAGGAACGCTCTTGTTCACTGCTGTTGCCTAACACACAGCTGATGTAGGGTGCATAGTAAGCTCCTCATATGTATGCAAAAGCCTCAGTTTGTGACAGAAAACTTTTTTTTTTTTTTTTTTTTTTTTTTTTAAAGCATGTTTTAGAAAAAGAGAAGGAAAAAATTTTTCCAATCAGGATGCACTGATCAAAGACACCTGAAAGGAGGCTGTAAGCTATTCTTTCAAGATGAGGTTATGAAACCACATTCATAAAATGGGTAACTGTGCAAATAAGCATGAAAAAAGCAAGGTCTTATCAGCTGGCCTCTCAGAAGATGTAAGTTAGGAAGAAGAGACAGGCTTTCACATATTCAAAACCACTCTTCAGGCATCATCCAGAGGCAGTAAGCTTCAAGCTAGAGTACAGGTTTGTAAATTAGTCATACCTGAAGACTGCCCCCAAAGATATCCAGTACCATCTGACATCTTGCACTCATAATGACCTACTGGTACAGTACACATTAATGATTTAATAACATAAAGCTGGTGAGTGTTGGTTATGAAAGAATGCGAATAGACCTGGGGCCTTTGTACCCCTTACCATGAAAAAGTGATACTTACTTGCTACAGTTATATTAATAGCAAAGTTAAAATTTTATCCTCAAATTGTTGGGTTCAATGGCAAACTAAGAGGATAATGTTACCTGTTGATTTACAGGGCAATCTGGAAAAGATTAAGAGACATCTTATGCTTTGTATTTGCACTCAGATTTAACTATGAATTCACTTCATGAATTGTAGGGTATATTTATAAAGTGAAATTAAGATACCATTTACCTTAATACTGACCAATTGAAGTCAGAGAGACTACAGGAAGTAAGAAAATACTTCTGGAGAGTAAAACAAATAGAGTGCCTCTTCTGAAAGTCACACACAGGTTTTTCTCCGTAGATTAAAACTTGTATCATGACGGATCATAAACTGTAAAGTCATTCTTGAGTCTAGCAGAAAATTCTATTTTATGTGTGAATTTTGTCTTATACATGAGGACAGATAGAACTCTTCTACTGCATTATTGGAGACTTATCAAAAACAGGATGCTTTTTTCTTGGGAAGATGAAAAGTACAGAGATAAGCAGGGAAATAAAGACTGAAGTTTTAACCAATAATATTTTTGTGTGGTTATCAGAGGAATGTAATAATTAATCTTTTAATCATTCTGAAGATTGTGTGAAATCATAATATCTCATCTTTTCCAGCCTCAACCTGCCATTCTTGATCTGAATTACAAACAATAAGAAAGGAGATGATTTAATGAGCAACTTTGTCATGTTGCCATTTTGCCGTAGTCAAAGGGAAATGTCTAGTTTTGCCTCTAAACTAAAATGGAACAGACTTAGGTTTCAACTATGCTCACAACTGAGGCAAACATGAATAGAAAAGTTAGGGCTATTTTAAAGCTACAACCCCAGTGTCTTCACATTTTCATAGAGACATAATTAAATACACACTGTTAAGAAGAATCAAACATTCATGTACTAGAAAATAAAATCCATGTTGTGAAGAAATACACATGTATGAAAAGTCTAAAATTGATAAATACTAAACTAAATCCAAAAAGAAAGATTTCAGTCACAATGGCAATAGGTATGTTCTTATTACTAAGGAAAAAAAAATGTCAGCATGATTTAATCATACTCAATAAATAGGCACTTCAGTAAAGTATATATTTACACTGGCTTTCTGAATGCTAGGGCATCACAAAGTAGTATGGCTTTATTACAATGGATGGAAGATGGCAACTACTTAGAACCCAGTGCCAACATGGATTATAACAAATCCAGTGAGTATTTTGTTTTTCAATTATTCATAGAAAATTTAATCCTGATTAAGTATCCTTGGGCAGGAATTCATGGGTAGTTGATGACTGAAACCAACATTTATTTGAAATGCTTCTGTTAATTTAATCTGTGTATATGGCTTAATTATGATTGAATCCTCAATGTAACAGAAATGAATTATATCAGGATTAAAATTCTAGTACCACATCACCCATTCCATTTTCTTTGCTTTTTTTTTTTTTTCTTTAAAAGATGCAAGCCTGCAGTTTTAATTACCTTTATGTTGCTATGTCTTCTAAGCCTCAAATACTATTTAGACCTTCATTACTGGATGAAATATTTATTTAAAATAAAAAAAGGGGGCAGATATAAACCCTATTTTCATTCCCATTAAAATTTTACCCAGTATGAACATTAGTTGGAAAAAGTATTGTCTTTCACACCAATAATAAAGGACAGTTTCTTGCGGTCAGTTGTGAACATGTAACGTGTTTTTTAGAGGACTCTCCCTCTTTTGTTTCTCCTTCTTTAATACTTATACATAAAATGCATTTTCTCTAAAGCATGAAAATAAAAGAACTTGTACTCATCATTACGCATCGCACCAATTTCACAACTGGCCTATTTCAGACTTGTTTGAGCTTGTAGATGTTTTAAGAACTGCATTTTATAACACCTTCAAACCTAGTATTGATACAAAGTAAGGACATTTTTTTGTGTCTTTGAGTGGGAGAGAAAAGATTAAATGTACTTTTCCATGATACAGCTCAATACCACATGCTACACATAAACATTATTTATAAAATTATTCAAATTATGGATTTTTCCAGTCCACAATACTTTTAACAGATTAATCTATGGACCTTGTCAGACCAGGTCTATGACCACAGGTCTGTGAAGTGCTCTGATATTATCACTCAGTTTTCCAGTGAAACCAATGCATCACACATCTGTGACAAAAATACCTGTATATTTAAGTCATTATTGCACATTTATTACATAACGTATTCTTCCTAAACATCTCAGAAGTGATGTCGATTTTTATGTCCAGAGGATACTGTTAGTGGCAATGTCACCGATGACAGTGAAGATACTTCCCAATATAGACTATGAGATAGAAAAAGTCTGTAGAGGATAACCATGGAGATGCACTGACAGAGGATAACACCTATGGTAATAATCTAGAGACAAAAAAAAAAAAAGGAGAGAAAAGAAAAAAGTAAGGAAAAAAATCCCCACCACCAAAAAACTCACCATAAATTTCTATCAGCATACTGTGTAAGTGCTTGAGGTTTAACTTTAAATGCTTTAATACTGCTGCAGTTACAAAAGATTTGAACATGAATCTCAAGTCCAGGATTCAGACTCTCACACCTGGGTGTTTTTAAATCAGTAGATAGCCCTGGGCAAGTCACATAAGCCTTCTGGCAGTTTCTGTTCTGGGGAATTTCAGACTTGCAATTCACCACCCATGCAGTTTCACAAGCAGAGGTAATGTTTAGATATTCTATTCTTACAACAAACAGAGTGGAAAAAAAACAAAGCCTGGAAACACTTTGCACTAGTACAATCACAGAGCTGTGAGGATAGTGTTTTATCAGTCTCACTTAGCCAGACCTCTTTTCAGTGCAAGTCTCTTAATCTATAAAAAATGTGTAAGGAAGTATTTATCAAATACATAAAGCTAACTACTGTTTCTGAGAAAGCCAAAGTCTAAGTTTATGTACAGAAAGTCTATTAAAATGCATGTTTTTCTTAAATAAATATATTTATTGATCATGCATTTCTTTATTGTATTGAAGTGCATTTAAAGAAGGAAACACAGCTAAATTATCATAATGTAGGAACTGCAGCTGCACACAATGGTCAAACTTGCTCAAATGCAAGAGCAGAGCAACTGTATTCTCCCTTAAGATAAATATTGCAAAAATTTCTTTTACTGATCCTACTTTTAGAGATTGTCCTCCTGCCCTGATGATGTTTTCAAAGAACAACAAAAAGTCTCTTCATAAGTTGCTCTAGACAAGTCTTTTTTTATTCCTAGATTTTTTTTTTTTTTAAAATCAAGCATAGCATTTAATTTACTATATATTTTTGGTGGAAACTTTTTATTTCCCTCACATATTCTCTACATAAATAAAAGCTCAATTTCCGAAAATATTTGCACACAAATACACAGATGGTTATAACCATAAAGAAGCAAAGTCTACTCTGGAATGAGGTAGTCAATCACCTGAGAATAGTAGTGTACTTTATCTGAACATGGCAGGCTCCACACACTAGTTCTCTAGTTCCCAATATGTTTAAGCAACCGAGAAACACAGGGAGTCCACCTTTGTTTTTAACTGTTTAGAGCTTACAAACCAGACTACATATTTGGACAGATTTCTTAATCTAAAGAATACAGTTCAGCTACAGGTTCCCTGACCTATTTAGCCACATAAAGCTTTTAAAGGCTGAAGACTAAAAAGCAAACAACAAAAAAAAAATCCACTGATTTATCTTTCTACTAGCTTTGTTAAAAGAATCCCCAAGGTGTTTTTAATTAAAAAACAAACAAGCAAACAATAAAACAAAACACCCCCTCCACATTTTCCTTTGACTTAACAATCTCCCCCTCTCCCTCCCTTAACCTAGGAATGATTAGCCTTAGATGATTCAAACCCTGTATGCCTTTGTAAAATATGACTCACATTAGCATCAATGAGAGCTGTGTGACTAAGACTTTTCAAGTTGCTTTGGGGTCATAAGATTAACAGCCTAAGAGCATGAGTTTGCTAACAAACACTGAACATGCAGAACAACTACTATTCAAATTCCATCTCTTTTATCTTGCCTGTACATACCTTTTCTCTTTGATATTCTCTGAATATTACAGCAATGGTTGCAAGACATGGGTGGCACAAAAACCAGAGAATGCAGGCCTGAAAGAGAAGATGAGCAGAAGCTATAAAATGACTACATGCCAGCTTAGAAGAAAGAGATGACAGTTAGAGGAACTACATTTACATTTCTGTCTATTTTATGAACCCATTGTTTAATTTTCAATCAACAGAACGAAAACCACACAATGAAAGGTGGGATTTCTGTTTAAAAAAACTCTATACTCCTTGTCAAATTAAAATGACTACTCACAGTATGATGACAGGGTGCAATTTAATCAAATCAGACACTTAAACATTAACTTTCTTATGGAGGAAAAGAGTTTAGTGCTTCAGTCAACTGCATTATATTCACAGCAAAAAGAATCAGTTTCCCTGATGTAACCCGTACTTTGGCAAAGGTGATATAGAATTCCCTTTTGAGCGTGCTTCTCTCCACTGTGATGATCTGGTAAAGACCAGCAGCCAGTGACAGAGCTAGGCAAACTCTGAGGCCAATAAGCAGTCCACTTGCTAAGCCATGGTGTGAATGGTAGCTGTGGTGATTCGTATCTTCAAACTGCTCCCAAATTAATAAAAAGCTCTGGAAAGAACAACAACAGCAAAGTACATTTAGAGTAAACAAAGTTACACTAAACCTCGATTAACCTTTCCATCACAGATTAAATTTTCTACACAACTGGTCATGCTCTGTTCTGCTTGTAGGAGACCGCCATGTTACACAAAAACCCCCTAGCCTGAATTGCTTTTTGGCACTACTTATTCCATAACTTTTAGAAAGTTTGATAAGTTAGTTTCCTCTGATTTGGATAGAAGGAATGTGGCACCTTAGCATAAGATCCAAAATAATCATCTAGTTAAACAGTCAGCCTACTCAGCAGGAAGCCCACTGAAATGATTCCACAGAGCTAGAGGGAGGTGTCTTCTTCCACTTGGGATACACAACCTGTAAAGCTTGTTTCAAAGGCAGGAGACTACGCCTTTTCTTTCAAAATCCTAACAGGATTCACTTTTCTTTTCAAAGATGGGGAAGTAAGAGGGTGGTGCTGTTGCCCCTTTTATACAATAGCCTAAAGGCTCAAGCATTCACCCAGGTTGAACTCTGATCTCCCACAATTCCATTCTTTGCCTAAAGGATATCCAACTCACATCTCCCACCTCCTTGGAGAATGCTGCAACTGCCAGGCTATAGGCTGTTCTTGGGTGGGCCACTCTCCACCCCTTCTATTGAAGCTGTGCCATTGTGGAGAAAAGAATTCAACATCAGCTAGGTCAGAAACTGAGAGCAAGCCTGACTCTGCAAGCAACTGGCTTGGAAACCTCCTAGGGTCTAGGAAAGGGAGCATCACAGGTTCCCAATGCCATTCCAACATCTGGACAAATGCTCTAGCCAAGAGATAACTACACAAAAGACAGTAATGCCCCTTAACTCTTGGCACTGTAGCCATTTGCTGCAAAATCCAACTTTGTAGGAGCACTGTAAGAAAGAATATTGATAGATTCTCCAAGGAAAAACAGACTAAGAAGTGCCTCGTTTCTGAATCTTAGGTAGGAGGCAGGTGCCTACTTGTTGCATAAAAAAATGGATCTTGCTGAAGAATACCTTTTTAAGACTTTGGGAATGTTAACGTTATAAATTAGAATACCTATAAAGTTTAGACTCTCCCAGCATCATGTAGCAGCTGAATAGCATTTTAAGACTTGAATATACACTGGAATCCAGTCCACCTACTGCACATATCTAACTTGCACTTAGGCTTCAGATGCCTAATGAAGCAGGCTTTCTGAAGAAAGGTAGGCAAATTTGATTTATATGAGTGAGGTAGCTCTGAAGGCTTTCAGAAGCAGACATTGTATGCCTCAATTTAGAAATCTAAATTAGTCAGATTCCATTCTGAACACATTCAAAGGCTCCCTCACTGCATTAGCTACATAAAGAGAAAAAGGTTACTGAGAATAACTTAAAAAAAAAAATCAAACGTGTAATCCACCTGTGCCTTCTAAAGGTGGGTATCCTTGAGTCTCACCAGTCAAGACAGGATCATTTTTGCTTAGAATATCCTCAGAGAGTACTCTCTCGCTTTTCCCCTCCCTTATCTAGGCCATGACAGCAAGCATGACTGCTGTCATTTCAGTCACTCCTGAACTACCTGGATGGAAAATGGAAGGATGGGAGAAGAACAGACATGAAGCATGCACGTCTTGAACATCACTGATTACTAGTAAACAATCTGACCGACAGGCTTCAAATGTTCCCACGAGAACATTATTTCTGAGTAACTCCAAGCAAACGTCTTCAAATGATCAAATTACTTGACTGGGAATTCTGTCAAGGAGTAAGACTGAAATAAGGCTCCTGAAACCCTGAGACACAGCACAGTGTTTGGTAAAGTTGTGTCTACAGCACTAGTTTTTGCATGAAATTGATGAATTCCTATCACAGAAGTTATTTCTGTCCAGGTGGAACATGCTCAAGCAACAAACAAGGGTTCTACCAGTTACAGAATCATTGCAGCCCCGTACAGAGCATTAATATTTAATATTTACACTTGGGAACAGCCAAAGTTCTGGACATACAGTCTGAGAAAATAAAAAACCCCAACCACCTCCTATATATAGAATCTTCCTGTCCAAAGCATGCATTTGGGGTGAAAAATACAGGCTGATGGAGATGGAACTGTGATATTGTTTGAAGAAGAAACTTAAAGGTAGATCTCAGGGAGAGCTTAACCTTAAAGAGCAGAGCTCATGAGGGTTTGAATTTTCTTTAACCTACACCAATAGTAGCAGCAATGAAGGAAGTCACTTTCATGAGAAGATGACAAAGAGCTAGAGTAAAGGAATTGTGAGAACAAAGTCAAAATCCTCATGGGAAAATAGTGTCTGACAGCAGGGTATGCTCTGGACCAGCCCTTTAAAGAGTGTAAACTGTGTAAACAACACAGGAATCAGTTGATCAAAGACTGTATGTAGTGACAGCAATGTAAGATCACAGAAGTCCAGCTTCTTTCAGTTTCATTATATTATTCCAAAATAAGCAGAAGGCAGAAGCATTAGAGGCAGAGATGGAACCATCAGTGCAACACACTGGAAACTCAGACAAGGTGAACATGTGTCATTGCTCTTACTACGAGCTGGGACTGTTCTCACTCACCAGAGAAAAGCAGGAAAGAGAAATCTGTGCTATGGATATTTCTAGGTTACAATGGATTAGGCAATCTCTCCTCACTGAAGAAAGAGCTTTCATAGACAAGTGTGATCTTGAAATTAAAATCTCTTTGCTTAGCTATGCCTCAGAAATTAACGCCAATAAACCGTGAAGTCTCTTACCTTGACCACAGAAAGGCATGTATCAGCTCACTTAGCTGCAAAATCAGCAAAAAGGTGAAAAAATACCCAGACCTGCTGAAGTGTTTTTTGATGGCAGTGAGCAGAACTATGTTTGAACTCTGAGAAGAAATCAGGGGGAAAATTCTAATTGTTATCCAGAAGAACAACTCTGCTTAGGCTGTAGACAAAAGAACTGGATGAGCTAGGTAGCTGAAGAGCTGACTCGCACTAGCTACGTCCAACATTGAAGTCACAACTGCTTCTTCATGAAGTGAAGAAGAATGACCATCTCATTGTTTACATAATACACTGTTCAGAATGCCTGAATTCTCCTGCACATACTTCTGACCTATCTTGGTTCACAGTGGACACCAACCACTGTCCAGTACTGGTCTTCCTCTTCAAATGCTAGAAGAATGTTTGCCATGGACATCATCCTAATGTTCCAGATATACAAGTTGAACCTCCACATCCATACAATGCAGAACCAGACACTCTTCTTTTTTGTCATGAGGAAATGATTATGGTAGGATCCCTCCTCCCCATTGCTATGCCAACACTGACTTTATGGCAAGCCAAGATAACATATCAATCTCCAGTAAAGGCAGGTTCTCATGGGACAGATCACCTCTGAGAGGCAAGGGGAAGGGGGAAGCAAAAGGGAAATTAAAAGTAGCAGCAAGACAAAGTGAATTAACTAGCCGCTTCTAACCATATCTAGTACTTGGGTATCTGATGTCATGCAATGCCAAAAAATGGTTTAGGTCTAAGGTCAGAGGTAGAGCACATTCTCAGCACACCTTTGGGGTGTACCTAGGAACCCCTGTTTAGTTCTATGTCATTTTGGTCAGATCTGAAGTGATCAGCTATCTTTCTAAAATCATTGCCTCTACTCTTATCAGCCCTGAAAGCTGAAACTGCTCAGGGTCTATGTGATGGGAAAGGCCTGCCATCAGTAAAGTTTTGAACGTTTGTGCCTCAGCAGCAGAGTGGAATCTTTAATGAATACAGAGCAGCCTGGGAACTTTTTGTTCTGAGGCTGAAATAAGGAACAAGTTAAGGCAAAGGAAGATGCTGAATGGCAGACCTGTCCCTCCTTTGAGATGCTACCTCTTTGCAGCCGCAAAGACCACAAGAGATTTGCTGACTAGGAAGATATGTCCACCCTACACTGATGGTAACCTGTAAACACAACCTGGGAAATTGCTGGTGTTTCTGAAAGAACAAAAAGAAAGAATTCATAGCATTAGTACAAAGAGGAGAAAAACCTTGAAAATTTGCTGAGTAATTTGAACTAGTAGCAGGCAAACTGAGTCAGACAGTTTGCCAGTCAAAACTTCAGTTAAGTTGAAGAAAAACGTTTTCCCAGGATGTCCACTTGCTTGACTTTCCTGAAGATAAGGACAGGTAGTGTAGAACACCAATAAAACTAACGCGGTTCAATCTCTATCTGCTGCATTAGGGTAATGCATGTGGTTTCCAGCACTCTCCACAGAAAGTCATCAGAACATCTCTGATTATCCATATAAATCCGTCTAATCTCTGGCACGGGAGGAAGCTGGCTCTCCCGTAAGAATCTTTGGGAAAGAGCAGTACAGAAAGGAATTTATTACAGGTTTTTAATCATTAAAAGTGCTCATCAATTGTCCTGTTACATCAGGCCCAACATCCATGTCAATCTAGGCAGACCAGCAAACAACAGACTAATCCAGAGAATGAAGTCTTGAGTTCACCATCTTTGACAGAGGCAAATACGATCTGGATCCTGCTCCCCTGACTCAACAGCTGCATTCTGTATTGAGGAGAATAAATCTGTCAGAAGGTATATTTTGTATGTACCGAACCATGAGATGGAAAACATCTGCTTCAGAAGGGGCAAGGATACTCCTCATGTCAGGGAACTTTTCCTGGAAACAGTAGAGAGTTGAGAGTGTGAAACCACTCTGGCAATGACATATTCTGATATCCATATTCTGTTCCTACAAGACTCCTGTGAAACGTGACAAATTCTCAATGGTACCAGGAGTAGAGATGTGGTAGAGCTGTGCCTTCGTGATGAAAAGTAAGATAGCCAGCTTCATGCCAATGCCTCAATGGTGCTCAAAGAGGAAAGTAGAGACTTTGTGAGTCTTTTGACTTTTAGTCTTTTTTGAGTAGAGACTACTCAAAGACTAGTACTGGAGGAAGCAGCATGTATGTATGATATTTGTGGTAAAAACTGCGGCAGGTAACAACCAAAAAAAGATCAAGCTGACAATACTGAGTGTCCTTTCTATGTATAGTAAAAAGGAAACAACAACAACAAAACCTTTCCAGTCTCAAGTGACAGAGTACTAACACACCCATATGTATGTACAAGTGGAAAGGCATGAATAAAATACTTTAGAAGTCTTCTTTACTACCACTGTGTAAAATTTCTGGTGCTAGATGGGTGTCAAAGCAAGGTAGAATGAACCTATCTTTAAATTTCAACAGTCCCATTGACCTTAATAGCCTTTGGTTTATATTTTTAATTAGCAAGAAATGTCAGCTCCCAGCTACTCTTAATGTTTTAGCAGTCCACTTATTTAGTTTGGATGCAGCACTAATTACAGATACTACTCAAATGGCACAAAATCTTCAGTACAATCTCTTCCTCATTACTGTCTCCAGTTTCTCCCTGCTCTTCCCTTTCTCAGTGGCTTTCAGATTCCCTTGTCTTTATGCTGTGATTTAAAAAAATTTGTTTACAAAAGGCACCACCAGGGTTGGAAGATCTCCATTACAATTTACTTTTAAGTTACTGGTTTACTTGACTTTCTAATTTATACTAATGGAAAAATATTTGAATGAAATTGTGTCAGACCATTTGTATATTTGCAAGACCAATCCTGCACAGGAACCTTTCAAGAATTCTCTTATATTGATTGAAAAGACCATTAGACATCCTATTTGAGTAGTTCTACAAGGAGGACACTGAGGATTTAATTTTTTTTTTTTTTTCCAACAGAATATCTCATAGCACCTTTTCTCATCTTTCCTTTCATGCTGCTTCTTGTCACCCTCCACAATGTAGTTCCCAGTCCCTCAGTTGTACTGATTACATGATTACCATCATTTATAGGATGACATTATAAATCTGATCAATAAAAGGACTGTGCTAAAATCTCTCCCTCTTTTTTTCTTTTTTCTTCCAATCTAGATCATTCCACTGATCTGGTTTACAGTATAATGCTACCAACAATTGGCACAACCAGGAGTTTGGAAAACTGTGGGAACTTCTTAAGTGGTTTTACTGCTCAACAAAAACATACTGTGGAGCTACACCTTAAACTGTTAAAGAGAAGGTGTTGTTACCCATTAGACATACTGGGTGCACATTATGCTGTGGGTTTTTTTTCCAGTCTTGATACTCCCTCATAAAATATTGAAATTCGTTGGTTCACAGTTCTGTCATACTTCATAGCAGCTGTGTATTTCAGTATAAGAATGAATATAAAATACAAACCTGTGTAACAACAACTACTACAGCAATGCCAGTAGATGTTGGAGTGGAATCCCACTGAAGAGGTCTACCATGAGATTTCTTCATTCTGCCTATTGTCCAACCCATACACAGGCTTAACAATAAATATAGCATTTGTATCTGTGAGACTATGTCACACACTATTGAAAACAAAAGAAAAATAGAGTCACAATAAAAATAAATTTTTCTCCAATGCAAAGAGAAATGTTCTATATACCCACAAAAGAAGGATGGACATTTATGCCTTGTTACCACCTTCAGCCATAATTTTGATAATAGTTTGGCTAGATGAGGTTGCTTTGCCACAAACTGTATATTTTGAGTAGCTTCCAGTGAACAAATAGATCATGATCAGCCTTCCTCTAGTTATGCTGCAGTTCTTCAACAACGCAGGCACAGCATCACATCCTTTCAAATCCCACTCTTGTGTCAAAGAAGTCTGAGCTCAGGAGTCCATCTACATAAATAGACTTTGTAAATGCTAAAGAACTAAAATCATATGTATGTTAATCATACTGCAAATATGAAACTTGATGAAATGAACTCTTTTCTTTGCTCTGAAAAACTTTTGTTCAAAAAATCACGTAGTTGCATTGTACTTTAAATTAATTGCACTTTGTCTTAAGGATGCAGTAGCTTGCAACAGAAGGCACAAATATTTAGGACAAATTCCACCCTCAGATACTTAAAGGGGAAAATATAATGAATAACCCTAACACAAACTTCATTTGGAGCAACAATTTGCCTGTATTTCATTTTATTAAATGCAAACTATCTTTGCCTCCTTTTGCTATGATCATGTTTTTTTCTCTGTTTGGGAACAATTAACACATACTCCATAAAGTCACATTCTTATTCAGCATCTCAAACCTGTGTTTGAAGCTGTATCTGAATAAAGAAAACTTCAAGCTAAAACATACTAAAGCCTTTACTTGTTAGCCTCACTGAAATGCCACTGACAGTACTGGGTGATTGTTAGCTTTAGACCTGGTAAGTTTCTGACTGAAACTTACTGAACAGTTTTTAAGTTGGTGTTCATACTTGAGAGTAAATTGTCTCATTGTACTGGCATAGCAGAGATGTACAAGAAAAACTGATTCTTGTATTATGTAAATTGAAAATTTGGTTCAGAAACTAGAGAATTTGCACTACACACAACAATGCTTTCTTTTTCACTTGATTAATATTTTAGTTCAATTAAATTTGTTCCTTATTTGTAATTTTCACTTACACTACCAGGTACAAGAAAAATACTTGCATGTCACTAAAGCAAATTTCTGTTTTTATACAACTGGACTGTATTATAAAAGATAAATGTACTTTCACATTTACTAAAAATACTGGCACAGAAAATGTTGCCACGGTACAGAGATTAATAGGCACACAAGGGAAGTATGTCAAATGAAGATCAGCTACAATATTTCCCTGACACTCAGCAAAATATGGATATAAAATGGACTTCAACATGTTAGTCCTGGGGTATAGTTGGTATTCTCACAGTTTATATGCTTAAATGCTTCTTAATGTATTCAGACAACTTTGCTGTTTAAGAAATGTCAAAATCTTTTAGTAAATCCAAACTTGCTCATTCTTTAATAAAATGAACTGGCACTCATTCTCAGTAAAATGATCTTGGAATTATTTTACAATGCTAGCCACGGACACATAGTATTCGCTAGCAAAATTCGTTACGTGAATCCAAGGCATGCCAAAACAGCGTCACAAATCCAAGCTAGAGAAATGACTGAACAAATCTGGATGTTCTAGGAAGCATTTTATTTTCTGTCACTCCTTAAGATAACTTGTCCTATAAGTTATAGCCAGACATCATCTCTCAATCACATCTTGGATATAGATATTGCTCTGCTTCTGTGTGGCAACAATTCAAATGGATTCCCAGACAAAATGGTATAAGATAAAATACAGTACCAGCTTTAATATTTGACATCTCATACACCTTGCCAGAAAGTAAGAAGGTTGAGAGAAATTTCTAAAATTACAGTAATCCCATGATATCCAGGGCTAGTGTACAATCACATGCTACTGAGCTGATACCGTATTTGTCTGATTGCACCACAATTCATCTATTTTTGGCTGTTCAACAGGCATAATAACATTCTTTGACTTTTCACATTTCAATCTTACCAAAAGTTAAAAGATCTCTATTTGTGATACTTTTGAGTGCCAGCATTATTTGTGTGATTCCTGAGATTAACTTAGGTGATAAATTAGACTGCGGGTCAGGTCTTTATACATGGTAATGACTAAATGATGGCAGGAAAAGAAAAATTGCTTGGGATAGTATCTGCACAGGTTTCTAGAAAGACAGTCTGGGCTCAGTGCACTCAACAGAAACTTTACCATTTCCTTTAAATCTGATTTCTGATATAGGAAAAATGGTAGCACCTTCTATCTTCAAACTATACTACTTGCTATCAGCTGTTCTTCAGAACTGTAATTGACACTGAAGCTTTTCACGTTTCTATTACTTCTGCTCTTTTATTGTTTTGGGAACCATGAACCTTAAAAACAGTAGGAAAGAAAAACTCTCTTACTGAATCTACTGATTAAAACAAAGTTATTTATTCTTAAAAACCTTTGCTTTAAGCAAATAAAAGTGGGCTCTTCAATACATACACAGAAAATCTAACATGCAGCTACTCTCTCTGAAGTTCTGGCTGGGTAGTTAACACTGAGTTTCTCACTGGGGAGGAGTTATGACTACCTCCATATTCTCTATTTAATTTCATTTCAGAAGATGAGAGGAAAGGTTTACTAATACGGTTGCTAGAGCAGCTGCAAGGAGCTGCTAACTCAAATAGTTAAAACAAGAAAGAGGCAATTACTGTGGTGCCAAGTGCCATCAAGAGGCTGTTAATTCCAACTGCAAGCTTATAATGAACTCTAGAAAGGGAAATATTTTTCTATACAGGCTGTTACTTTCCAACACTATCTCACTACCACAGTACTACTTTCTTGGGGTGCTTCAAGTCAATCAAAAGGCAAATATATCTGCTTACAAAGAACCCCCCATTGCTTCAAATGTGAACTACAGGAAAAAAAAAAAAAAAGACATTTAACCCTGAGGAATCCAGGAGGAGTAAATTAGTGCATTTTGGGAAGGGATTTCAGTCCCAGTGAGTATCTATATAGAGAGAAAAGTGCTTTATTCACATCAATTCTTTACACAAGCATTTCTTGCACCACTTTAATCGTATCATTTGTGCTGTGAAACTTTTTCATTTAATTGGTGTTAAATTTGGTAGTGAAATGACACACTCCATAAAATGTGATTAACTTTCCTAAAAAGTTTCACTACTCTAGATCATGCAAACTCCACAAAACCGTTTGCTGTATTGAAACACTTACTTATGTGACAAGCATCTATTTAAGTGTTTGTAGGAAGGAATCTTCAGACAAGAAAATCCTTTAAAAAATCCTAAATCTATCACAATTGCATAACTTTAAATTATTATAAACATCCTGAATAAAACCTGTTTTTAAGAAGAGTAACTTTTAGCATTTTATATTAAAAATCCAGTGATATGGTTCAAGATCATAATACAGTTCAACAGCATTCATTAATGTATTGTACAGATTAATGTGTAGCAGTATGTAAGAAACATTACACAAGCATACTCACATTCTGCCAGACTTCCCATAAAAGGTGCTCCTATTCCATCTTTAGAATAACTGATAAAAAAATAAAAAGATATTTTTAGGTGAGGGAGTCTTAAATGTGTATTCCGTCTTAAAGGTACATTTAGGCAATGATGTAGTTGTAAAAAGTCAGTCCTAATCACCACAGAAAAGATCATGTACTGATCTTTACAACACAATGTTCTTCAAGTCTTAAGACTGAAAACAAAAATAAAGATACCTCGAGAAATGCAGGTAGTTGGCAAAAGCTGAACCAGCCTGCAACAGTAATGCAATTGTCAACACCTTTAATACAGTATGCATAGGTCCACTCTTCTTAATTGTTTGCCATAGCGACTGTGCATAGATGCAAGCAGTTACAAAGTATGCTAGGACAAGCAGGAAAAAGAATTCATGTAATCCTGTGAAAAAAAGAAATACAGCTTAGTTTTTATAAAGAAATGTTGTTACTAGCAGTAAATAACTAAAACAAAGTATGTTTTTATATAATCACTGGGAAATAGTAACTGTCACCCAAAATTGGTAGTGCAGATAAAATAAGTAAATCCTAGACTATTTTATCCAAGAAAGTCAGTGAATGTTTTCAAAGAGCTGATTATTATTTGACCTGACAAAGTGGTTTTTATTCAACAATACTTTTTCTGAGTGTAGATTCTATTCAAATACAAATAGCTTTGTAGAAATTACTGAAATAGTATAAAGTGGAATACAGTTTCTTGATAAACAGAAAAGAATTGTAGCTCATTTGATCAGTCAGAAACATATTTATTAAAGGACTCATTTTTAGGTTGGGTTTTTTTTTTGCTTCAATTTTTAAAGGCACAATCTGGAAACCTGGAACAGACTATCTATTTAACCACTGGGGGTCACTCTTTCTCCACATTAAGTAGTCAGTCCAAGAAGCAGAGTTGACGAAGACAGAAAACTTTTAGATAAAGAAAAATAGCACATAGAACAATAATAACTTTAGAGAGTGCATTTTTTTTTTTCACCAATCTGAAAAAATGCCCTAAGTTTTTGATATTATTACAAAACAGAAGTCCTCTAATTTTCAGTCTGGCAGTAGTCTGGTAAAATGCTTCCCTGAAGATCTGGGTCCTGGAAATCATTTCTACTGTCCAGAAGCTTTGGAAACCACCATACGAGCTCACAGAGGGTGAAAGACAGTGAGCTATAAGCAGAAGCAGGTAAACAGATGCTTCTTACAGAACACTTATGTTTTCCTTCTTCAACCTTCCTTGAAACCAAGTGGTACCCACAGAATCAAGATTCCAAACAATGTTTTTCCTCCAGCAGCAAAACAACTCTGCTATAGACTTCCAACCAGCTCCACCCAGAGATTAGAAACAAAGCAATTATACACATTTCAATACCTAAATTGAAAAACATTAGAACTGGATGAGATCTGAATAGCTGATAGTACTGTAACTTCTATGGCTATAATTAATAATTTTGGACATACATACAGTGAAATGGAAGAAAAAGAGCATAAGGTTAAAAAGATTTATAAACCAAGAATTTCAGGGCCACTCTGCTGCTTCTCTTGTATGCCTATACAAAAGCACAATTTATGAATGACAAAAAATATGCATTTTAGATCAAATCTCTTATTCTTCCATTCTTTATCCTTCTGCTTCAAAAGATACCCACAGGAGCTGGAAAGGATCTGTAGATAAGTTATTTCCCACCATAATGAGTGGGTACACATGGAAAACTCTGGTAGCATCAACTAGTTTTTAATAAACGCTAAGCATTTAGGATAGAAAGCTCCTTCCAACCAAAGACAGACTGTGAATGATTGGCTCGAGACCAAAAGGATTTAAAATAAAGTTGCACTGAAACAAACTATAAAAAACCAAGAAGGGTAATTTTCAACCTGACTTTAAGCTTCCTGACTTTTATGATTTGACAGAGAAAATAAAACATATGTACCTTAATTTGAAATACCTAACTTCAATGATTTTCAAAATGCTGTCTACTTGGTCAGCTGCCCTTAGAAATCATAGATTCCATCAGTACCATGTCTTAGGTAAAAAACCCCTACCATATAAAATGATAAAAAGATTATTTGACAGGGATCAGAAGCCAGGCTCCTTCCTCTCTCAGGGCAAATATCTTAATCACAAGGTTACAGTCTCAAGTTCTTTTCTATACTTTCCTTATTTTCCATTTAACTTTGAGATCTCCTGTGTCAGGCCACACTTTTAGTAACTAAAGTGAAAGATGACCTAACTAGAACCATCTGTAACGATGTGGTTTTTAGCCACCTGAATGAAAGAACCAAGAAACAGATCTGGATCTCCTCTCTGAGACCCTAATGTTCTAAGCTGCACACCTCTACGGAAAAACAACAAACATTATTCCCCAAGGGTGCATGAAGAAAAAAAAAAGAAAAAGGAGAGAGAGAATCCTCCTCAGTTCTCTGAAAACAGACAGTCATGCAACTCTAGTATTGATGGTAGCGATGCACGTTTTAATTCTGAATAAACAGAGGTGTTCCTCTGCAACTATGGAAGACACACCAGGTACACTCCACCCATTTCCTACTTGTTAGATCTAAATACATACATCCAACACATTTACACACCTCTTTACTCAGCATGCAAGGTGTTCAGTTCTGCTTCCAAGTACTCAGTCTTCCTACAAAATGAATATAGAGCTGCGATGCCTCTAGTAAGTCTGTACACCACTTTTAAGGGCCACAATATGTCTTACAGCTGCTTTTTGCCCTTGATTTAGCAAAAGAATGCTACTACTACTTTTTGAGAATATGTAAATTAACTAAAATTAAATTCTGGATACAAAATTGACCAAATAAAAACTGTCAACTAAGATTGTAGATTAAGAAGTTAAAGAGACAGGTCAGTTTATAAGCCTTGAAAAATGGACGAATAACAGTGCTACTTTCTTATAGATTCTGCTAAATGTTTCAGTGAATATTTTCTTTCCTTCAAGGGAAGGGAGCTGCCTTTGTTCCCTCTATAGCCTCTTGAGACCAAGAATGACAGCAGGACCTATGATTCTGAGAATAGTAATCAGTCTCATTCTGGGTATGTAGGTTAAATCTGTAGATGAAGGCAAACTAAGTCTACTGGGCTCTTCCATTACAACAGACCGAGGTTAGTGACATGTTGATGAGGCCTCCCAGAGCAGTGAAGCTAAGCACTGCAACGATGCATACATTAAGTTGGTTTGGATCATCCAAAGCATACAATTTTATGGAGACATTTCTTTAGCTGCTGTCTTAAGTGACTTCTATAAGTTTTTCTTTGCACATTTAAAGATTTAAAATTGCATTTCTTAAATAAAATAAAATCAGGACTGACAAGTATCTAATCTGCAGCCTGTGACTAAGGTAGTTAAAAAGACCTAAACACTGAACTGAAATTGTACTGGCAAAATGTTTTATCATAGATGTGTTCATGTTGCACACAATCAAATTTAACAGCTAAGGAATTTCTTGAATTCATTAAAATCAGGGACTAAACTCACATTCATGCAAAAGCTTATGATTTCCAAGATGGGAAAACTACCTATCAGCAAAGATGTTAACACTAACTTTCCTTGTGCATCTCTACTTTCAGTTAGGCAAGTTTTGACAAGTCAGTCTAGAGAAACTTTTCTTTAGAAAGTTCTAGAGAAGTTTTTCTGTAATGCCAGAAAATGAATTAAAGTTTACTCTCCATGAGAAAGTAGAATGTGAAATATAAAAGACTGCTATCCCTTTGTTGTACTTTTCCAAGCACAGTAAGTACTGATTTGTTTGGGTGATTAAATCCTTAACTTACAAATCTAATTTTAAGAAAAAAAATCTTACCAGATTCCCCTGCGCTAAAGTGATCTAACGGATTCCCTTCTGCATCTGGGTTTAGTAAGACCATTTCAAACTGAATATCCTCGGATTCAGAATAATTCTCCTCGCAGGTAAACTTGTCTACATAAAACACATACCATGTTTCTGGATAAGGAATCTGGGACACTGTCAGATTTTGCTCTGTGAGGTTCACAGTCACTTTGGAAGAAAACAAACAAAAATAGGAGTAAATACACGATTAGTTCATTTTTAGAAAACTCATCTTTGAATGAAGATAAAATTTAAATCCACAACATCATATACAGGTTATAAACTAGATACAGTACAAAACAGCCTGTTTTGAAAGCTAGCTGTAACACCAGAGACAGACTTCTAGCTTCATCTTTGGTTTCAAATAGGTGCAGACAAAAGCTGGTGAGGATATACACCGCATTCTATCTCTCAGCTTTTGGGTTCACTGGGAGAAGTCCCTTCTGCCACAAGCCAGTAACTGCAAACTGTCCCTCCTATGCTTAGCACATTTCTGTCCTCTAGTACAGTATGATTGGACTAGCTCTTCTCTATCAGCCAACAGGTATCTCTGCAGTAGGAAAAATACCTTTGTATTCTACTCTTTTTTCAAAGATATTTAGAGCACCAAACAAGAACAGCCACATGTGAGCTCGGTAAACAACAGTGTGCATGCTTTAAAGGTGCAACTTACCGTATTTTACAGCATCTTCCCCAAACCATAAAAGACTTAATTTCAATTGACAGCTAAGGGCTGAGACCATCGTCTAATAAAACTGTGTATTTTGTATCAGATTACATTTAAAAACAACTATATGAGACTCATGTTTCATCTGCTCACTGATCTTACCACTATTTTTCCTAAAAGCAACTGTAAACCAAGCACAATTTCTCCAAAATAAACATTTACTGCAAATGGAATCTCTAGCTCTGTATGTTTGGGTGAAACTGCAAGAATTTTAAGTACTGTTACACTGATTACTGAACTCAAGTGCCAATCAGCTCAACCATAAATGAAAGCCATCTCTGTAGAATAAATAACAATACAATGACTGGACTGTAGATTAAGATGACAGTGTCAAAGGATGAGGAAAACAAAAAATTTCATTAAAAATTTACAAAACAAGCTATTTCTGTTTTTTATGCAAAGGCGTTTCTAAAAGAAAAAGGTTGCAAACAAACATATTAAACAACCCTTAGCAAAACTGTGATCCCTAAATACTCTGTAGACAAAACTTAGAACTACTTTCTAACTTGAAGCCTATCTGTGAAAAACATTTATGTAATTTAATTTAATTTGTTTAAACTTCAATAAATTATTTTCTGTAGGCATGAACTGATCAACATTAGGATTCAGGAAGAAACATATGTTTCTTTGCAGCAAATGTCATGAAGTACAAATTTGGACAACCTGCAAACCAGAGGAAAAAAAGTGTTCTAACACAGGCAATTTGTCTTGTGTAGGTAATGCTAAGTATGTGTTCCACTCTGGAGCTATGTATCTTTTCAGTCAAATATACAAAGTGAAACAGCTCCCTTCAAAAAATCCAACATTTAAAAAACCACATATTTAGGATTTCATATGGTACTTAATCCAAATGAGGCAAACTGCAGCTGGCAGGGGTGGCTTTCCCCTCCATCTCGACTCTCAGCTGAGTTCTGACACAGTGGTATTTGCATCACAACTAAGGATCACACTGAGCACGTTTAATCAGTTTTCCATCAAATCTGCAAGGTAACTCTCGGGAAATAAAGTAAGATAAAATAAAAATGTAAATGATTTTGCCCAAGATCAGCAAACAGATCCAACTCACCCTGCGGTCACATGATTCCTAAACACAGTAGAAAACAGTGAGTACACTGCTGGGACAGACAGGAGTGACAGACCAACTGCTGGTTATTTCTGCAGCACTTCATGTTCAGCTCAGACCAAGTGTAAGGAAACTACATTCTTGGACATCTGTGTAAAATTGCGTTATGACAATATTCCAGGATATCAATTTGTTACTCCAGGGATTCTGGTCACACAGAGGAAACGTATTTACAAAAGAAGGTGTATTCACTTAAGATGTATTTGAATGAAGTTTCTAATATTAATTTAATTTCCTAAAGGAAAATTTATGCTTTAAGTAGGTTTTGTTATATTACAATTGATGAACGCTGCAAAATGTATTATTTCAGTAAGCTTGTCTTCCAGTTACATAACTGAACGCTTCAGTGTTTTACTGTTCTTTTACAGTTAGATGGATACTCAAGTTAGACTTTATCCTGATCAGCTCATCTTTGATACTGTATTAAAAATCTTCTAACATGTTTTGTACATCTAAGAGTGACAGGTTTGTGCTATCATGAAGATGAAAATATAATTCTTTTGTTTTCTTGTCTTTGTAAAATGCCATTTCCATGGAACTGGAAAACAGGAGCCTCCTGACAAATTGGAAATGTTCCTTCATAAAGAAAAGACAGCAAGATAACCTACATATTCTGTACTGGTATAATTTTCAGCTCAGATATTAAAAACATCTGAATGTGACATTCAGTGATGAATACCAAATTACAAAATTAAAGGGTGAAAGAACATTAGATTATAATACAGGAAAATTATAAAGTAAGGCAGCATAACCCAGATTAATTTTTGCAGATGACTTTACAGACAGAAAAAAACCCCACTAATGATTATGAGTTGTGAAATGAAAAAAACAGAGAAAAAAGCTTTGCAGGTACAAAAATTACCCCTTTACTGTATATTTGAGCTCTATACTTCCACCTTAAAAGCATTCACTTCAGAATTTTAGAGGTAACTGCAGCAGATTCCATCAGTTTGCCTCTATTTTTTTTCATTCCACTACAATAAAAGTCACAATTCAAACTGTACGTTTGACTGTCCCCACCATTTAGATTCTCAAGTTCTTCAGTTTCGTGTTACAACTGTATTCCTTGCAAATTCTTTCAAATACTCAACATAATCTTTTTTATGGAAAAGTTTGAGATAAAAAAAAAAAAAGCAGAGTTAAAGAGAATCTCTGTATTGAATAAGTAAATGAAAACTTCAAGCAAACATATACCCTGAGTTGTGTACAAATGAGAGCACAAGACTAGAACTAGTCAGTTTGTCTGTTTGCATGAAAGTCATTATTTGTCAAGGACTGTTCATTTTCCAGCAGTATACTAAATCATAACTCGCAAACAAAGTCTTCTGAAGTGATGCAAACAAAGCAATTTTATTTCCTTGTAATAACTTTTAATTACAGAAGGCTGAAGTCCTGCTTTTACTTAAGTTGATACAAAGTCCAAATTCACTGAAATAAACATTTCTAAATACACATATAACTTAACAGAGTTCTAAATACATAGCTTAATTCGTGAGAGGAAAAAAGCAGCAACTCACTTGTCAGCTGAGCTTTAGAGAACATCTCTGTACAGCTGTGATCTTGGATACCATTCTGCAGCTTCTGCCATTCCTGTGCTTGAAACAGGTGAAGTCTAGCTGCTTTTGTCACAGCTACTGCTATGTTCTTGATTCTGACACACAGAAGAGCATGGTCACCTTGATATTTAAAAAATACAATCAACTGTTCTGCCTTGATGTCAGTTACAAGCAAAAAGCTAGCATGGCATAGATTTTTTTATAAGTAGCAGCACTAAAGCTTCACTTTATTTCTTAAACTTGTAGCACTACTTCCTAGAAAAGTCTTTACACTCGGAAACAATTTCTATACATCTCAACACAACACGGCATTCAAGGTTCTTTTTGATGGTACTTAAACAAACCTTCACCATAATCCAAATGTCATTAACCTTCTCTACAACAGCCTTCCCTCCCACCTTTTTTCTGTTTTTAGACAACTTTTATTTTTCTTCCTCCCAACCCAAATTTGATTTTCTCAAGTTCAAGCGAAGTGACTCAATCTGTCTGAATAACTTGTTCAAAGTCTAATATTTTATGACATTTGTAGCACTATCATGAGCATCATAGGGTAGCTCTTGAGCCTAATACCAGAACTTACATAAATGGACCTTCATGTTACGGACTGATTAGAGCTAAAATAATTAATTATAGATTACATATGTCAAATTGATAAACAGAAAATCAAACTTTGAAAGTGTTCCCTAATGTGTCAGTCTACCTACAGGCTGCATCTTGACATAGAAAAATGTTTTAACCATTTCAGAACTAGCTCATTTGAAACAATTTAGCTTTTCTGGGTAATGCTACAATCCTCAAACTTATTCTGATAAATTCTTTAATTATATATTGTCACAGACTTCTTTAACATAACAGTAGCCTAAATTAATGGAGAAGAAGAATCAATCAATACTACAAGAGCACAAACTCATTCAAATTTAAGCAAGCTTTGCATGTTTTCTAAACTGCCAGGGCAATCTTCTTTCCCACCTGACCTAAGCACCAGCTGGATGTGGGTCAACAGACCAGCTTCAAGTAAGGCTTTGCCAGGAAGGTTTGCCTGTTTAGAACCAGTTGCAAGATAATGGTCCTGAAATAAAACCTCAAAAAAGGTGACTGCCAGGGATCTGTATAATAAAAGATTTAAAAAAAAATACCAGAAGGTTCTAAAAAAAGCCCATATGGCCTCACGAAGACCCAAAATATGTATAGTTGAGTGTATTCATGCAGAAAGCGTAATATTTCTAAGGAAATATGAAACATGAACTTGTAAATTGTATCTGAACACCTAAACCACTTGTCTTGAATCTTAACATTCTTTTCTTAGATTTAAGCAGTGCACCTTTTTTTTCTTTAGATCTATTTAGAGCATTTCTACAGTTATCTTCTAGGACAGTGATAATTAACTGCTTTCAAGTCACTCCACAAGCTATCCCCACCCTATCTATCAGCTGTCACTCAGCGCTGGAAGGTCACATTCCAAGTCTTGCTGGCTTATGACACATTTTCCTTCATTAGATTTTTTTGTTGCAAACATTTTTGTTTTCCTCTCACAGTACTCCTCTAGCTTGGGAGGAAGCCTGTTTAAGTATTATCTTCATGGTTGTCTTTTGCAGCATTCTGCAGAACTCTTCTGCCACGAAGCTAACCGAGAAAGAAAACAGTCTGAGCCAGTGGCTTTCAATCTGTGGTCCACTGACCTCTGGAGGGCCACGATGCCTTCACAGGGGGTCTGCAAAGGGTTAAAGCAGGGGTGGGGAAAGTCCAGCCTGGAAACATGTGGTCTGGCCTTTGCCTCGTTTTCCCACAGTCCCCTCCCCTCAATGCTCCTCTCATACTCAAGCCCCTCCCCCCCGCACCCTGACAGACTAGTATATTCGGTGCTAGTGTGTTTGGTGGGATGCACTTTAACCAGGCGGTTTTTCTCTTAAAGACATTTTCTTAACCCAACGGCCCTCTTCAGGGCCACAACGGGGCTGAATTCTGTTCCTCCAAGTGGTGGCCCTGGACCTGTAAACAAAACTATATGGTGACTGAACATAAACAAGGGAGGAGGTGAGAATAATTGTAAAAACTTTTCAACAAATTTTCATGTAAAAATTAGCATCAAATTTGGAATTAGCACGTTAAAATACACAGAATGGGCCATTTATGCAAGAAGAGTGTTGATGCTGTAATTTTAAATTCATAAGGAATCACCGCAATAAAGATTATAATAGGAGTGTGTGCATTAGCAGATTAATTTATTTCCTCTTCTCTCCAAATTTGAAGACCCTTCATGAGAAAATCGATATATTAATCTGATGCAGTCTAGTACTTTAAATGTTGAAGTAAGTCATGGTGGTCTGCGGCCACAAAAGGTATTTAAAGGGAGTCCATGGTGAAGGAAAGGTTAAGAACCCCTGGTCTAAGCCACCGAAATGCTGAGCATATAAAAAGCTTGCTGACCAGCACAGCCTCGTCGGATGTGGCACTCGCCGTGCCTGCATCTCTTTATGCAAAGTAAAACTTGAGTAGTAAGGAGAGTAACTACCCGTATTTCTGCAGTGGCCATTCTAACGGGATTCTAGCCGGTTGCTAGGCGTCTTAACTAACAATCAGAAATTACCACTAACAATTTGTTAACAACACATGAAAGAAAAATCATGGGGAATAATCGAGTGAGCGTTTACATTCAGATGCCGGGTGCCGCTAGAGCACCCAGCCCTGTGACACAGACACGTGCAGTGCGACGCACCGCTCTTATCTGGCGCTCCAGGGGGAAGGAGAGATGCACGTCCAAGTCAAGATGCCTCTGCTCTGCCGGACACGGCGGGCCGTGGGGCAGGGGGGCAGGGAATAGAGGTTGCATTCAGTCCATCACACACTGTTTCTGCCACTCCTGCCTCCTTAGGGGGAGGATTCCTCACACTCTTCCCCTGATCGAGCATGGGGTCCCTCCCACAGGAGACAGTCCTCCACAAACTTCTCCAATGTGAGTCCTTCCCACAGGCTGCAGCTCTTCACGAACTGCTCCAGCGTGG